CAAACTGTGGGAGAGTCATAATTTACAAGCTAACTATCTAGTGTATTGATCTTTGCCCAGGGCAGGATGGGAAACCACTCTGCATTTTCAGTCAGAAAGGGATTCGCTACAGAAGTTAGATGCTTGCAATATATCCAGAAGGGCTAGACAAATGGTCTCCAGTTGTGTCACCAGAAACGACTCTTAGAACTCTACAGATCTGTCCTGCTGGGGAGGCTGGTCCTCCTGCTACAGTCTTAAGGGTGGGGAATCAAAGTCCTTCACTGCTCTATTGACCTCAGGACATGCTGCATGGCTGGATCCAGAAATCAGAAAGTGGCCAATGCTGCAACTGACTCTCTACACCTGGAAACTGGAGTTTGGACAACAGAATACTGAACCCAACATACCACGTCTCCATGCCCCGCTTGCTAGCATAAGACAGCCAAAGGGGATATGTCTTGTACCTCATTCCGCCTTCCAAAACTCACTACAGTGCATTATTTCTTATCCAGAACCCAATCAGCAAGAGAGTTGGGAAATATGGTTTTTTAGCTTTCCAGACTGCCATTCAAGAAAAAAACAGAAAAGTAAGGAATGCTTGCTGAGTGCCGGTCAACCGTGCCTACCACATGTAGTTCTGTGTTATCCTATATGTTCCTCTTCCTTTACTAACCTTTAGGCTTGAGGAAAGACTTGTTTAAAAGCTCAGGCCTTGGGTCAGTTGTACCATAGGATGTAAGGAAAGTAATACCTGGGTGAAAGTGTTAAAATTGGCAGTGCTTGTCAAGAACTGTGTAGGGTCTAGGGTTGATCCCTATTTCCAAGAAGACAAGTTAGTCTGCCACTGTTTCATGGATGCTGGGAAGGAGAGGCTGCAGAGTCAGAGACAAAGGATGTTACTACTTATGGCAAAAGTAGCAGCCAGGGTGTCAGCAGGATGTGGGGTGATGCAAAGAGCCCATCATGGCTGCCTGTGCACACAGTGGGTGGCATCACAGATGAAGAGCAGTCCTGTGCTCAGGGGATACACGTCTGTCACGTGCTCTGGCTAATGTTGGCATCCTGCTGGCTGGGCGAATTGTAGCGCTAGGGCTGGGTCTGGAGCTCACAGAACCCTCCAGCCTGTTGTCCAGACTGGGTCACAGACCCTTCACATGCCAGGCTGGGTCCCCAGACCCCTCACATGCACGTCTATGGGCTAGGTAACTGGCAGCTGTAACTGGTCCTTGGAAGCCGCAGATTGAAAAGCATGGCTGCGCTGAGTGGCGGATGCCCAAAGCAGTCAACGCCAGCCAACGTGGTGGCACCGCACATGCGCACCAACTCCCCCCCACCCCCCAACAATTTGTTTACTGAACCGCCCCCAACCGGCCTGAGGCGAGGGGAACCTGATCAAATCATACTGTTTTCCCAACAACTTCATTTTAAGAAGCAGAAGCAAGCCTGATGTTAGTCCAGGGAAAAATGTTACCTTATTCCTTAAGGCTGCTGGCTGCAAATACAACCCTGAGAAATGTTTGGGTAAAAAGTGGCCAGAACCAAGATCAAGGGTTTGGATCCCCGTACCGGCCATCCGCCTAAACAAAACAAAACAAAGCAAGAGTGGCCAGGGCCTTGCATTCTTGGCACACCCCAAAGGGAAGTGCAGAGATGCTCGGGGCCCATGGAGGACTGCCTCTCCTGACCTCCCTCTTTTCTCTTCCCGTCCTACCTCCTTCTTTTCCAGGCCAGGTGGCAGTGGTGGTAATTATGAAACATCTTTCAAGGGAGCGTGATTCTTTTGGGACAAGTGTCTCTTCTTCACAGGGAATGTTCTCCCCATTAGTAGCCTTGGAGTATCTGGCTTAACTTTATTAAGGGAGTTGGCTGTTTCTTTAAGGTCTTAATGAATGGGGTCTTGTTTTCTTCTCCTGGCTGCCTCCCAGAGGTGCTGCCCCACTGCTTGGCTCCTTTATAGGGTGACCAAATGTCCAGGTGTTTGTGCGACTGTGGTTTCTTGGGGTGTGGGACTTGCAGTGCTGAAAGAGACATGGTTGGCTACACTACACTCCTTTAACACTTGCAGGACCTCCAAGCCACAGGGCTGGAGTGATTGCCTGCATTGACTGTGGCCAGGGCCATATCTGTTTCTCTCCTGTTTTACCCAGCCTGAAATTTACTGCTAAGGGTGTAAATGCCAAGTTCTATTAAGGGGTTATCTTACAGATACAATTTGTTTCCTCTTAAACAATTGATAAGTAATTCAATTTATAGTACTGGCCGCTATGTATTACGTATTAAGCCCACAGAATATTCTGGACAAAAACTCAGTTGTTTTTACGTCTGGGAGACCTCTAACGTGAACCCTCTTTAAGGAGAAAGGAAAGGGAGAGGAGAAGAGGCTCCCTTCTGCTTTCCCCTGTCCAGAACAGCCAGATTTTTAAACCTGTAATGCCATAGGTAATTCCAAAGGCTACCCTCCTGTTATACGAAGATCAGGAAAAAGAGCTATTTATGTATCTTAGACTGACTTAGAAGAAGCATCAGTAAGCCTGAAAATTTGAAGAGAGTTTACATCAGATACTTTCTCTCCCAATATTCCAAACAAGGCAGGTATCCCACTTGAGGCAACCATATATATTGAGTGAGATAAGCCATGGGCTGGTGGAACCCCATGATGTGAGTCCATTCCTTTCTAATAATCCAAAGATTAGGGCTGATGGAGGCATGTCTGGCCTTTTCCAAAGTCATATCTAACTATGAAAGAGAAAGCAAAAGAAATATCTCTTGCTAAATGTTTTCTTCTTGTTTCTATGTGGGGAGCTAATTGGACCTTTTTAATTCTGTCTATAAATCATGACCTTTCTATTAATGGCAATAAAAAAAATCCATACGTTCTCAGAGTTTCTAGTTTAGCTATGGTAATCGACCCTGAATAAACACACTATGTTCTAGGGACATGATTGTTTGACTCTTAGTAGGGAAGCCCTCTGATGACATCTGATGCAACAGATTGAATTTGCTATAGAATATCTGATGTCTGGAGCTGAGGCTGAAATGAGGGAATGGGGCATACAGCTCGGTAGGAGGTAATAGGAGGCAGATCGATTCTCTTTGGATCAAGAATAAGCTCAAAAGAGTATTTGGGTCCAGGAAGTGCCACACATCTTTGCCCACCTTGTCAGCGGCAGCTGAAGTCATATTGCTGGTTTGTGGAAAAGTGGCCGTGGGCTTGTTGGAGATCACAAGAAGAGGGGACAGTGTCAGGGAATGAGGAAGTGCATGTCTTTCCTGCATTTGACCAGTCAGTTTCAGCTGCCAGGAGATCAGTGCTATCTCAGCATGGACTAAAAGCACACACTAACTGTTCCTTTGTGTCAGCTGGCCTTACTTGTTCTCTAAGGAGTGGCTGTAGATACGGTGGTGGTCGAACTACAGTGAGATGATTAACAGATGCAGTGTGCATTGACAAGTGAGGAGGTGATCCAGTGATAGGGAGTAGATAGACTGGAGAGTCAGCGTTAAAGGTAGACTTTTGGAGTACCAGACTAGCTGTATGCCTTTACCAAGTACTTAATCTCTCTACACTTGTCGCATCTGTAAAGTGAAGACAATGCTGTCATTGGGTAAGGCTAGGGACCAATGGAGTGCCCTTGGCATGGCAGCAATGGCCAGCAGAGTGCCAGCATCATCACTGGTACTTGTGAGTAACCCCCTTTCTTACATTAGGTCATGATCCTGCTCTGTCAGAGGTGACCAGTGTCCCCATATACTCTTTTCAGTGATCATCCTATTTGACCTTTGTGCAGCCTTGTGTGAATCCACTCTGCATGCCCCCCCCCCCAAAAGCTGTCTACTCCTCTCTGGATGATTTTCCCCATTCACCCCATCCTTTCTCATGCCACCTTTGGGCTGATAACTACTAATTTTTATCTTTAGTCCAAATCTCCTGTGTGTCCTATGTCCAGTGGCTTATAGGACATGTACACTTGGATGTCTCAAAGACATTTTAAACTTAGAACATGTAAACTGGAAACCATTTTCTCCCCTGGAGCATATTTCTCCTCCTGTGTTTTTATTGGACATCATCCACACAGTCACCCAAGTGTGGCACTTGGGAGTCATCCTACATTGGCCTATTTTCTCATCCCCCAGATTGCATCAGCTGCCGAGTCTGGCCACATCTACCTTCTTAATGTATTTTCTTTCTTTCTTTTTTTTTTTTTGGCAGCTGGCAGGTATGGGGATCTGAACCCTTGACCTTGGTGGTGTAATGCCAAGCTCTAACCAACTGAGCCACCTGGCCAGCCCCTCAATGTGTTTTCAATCAGATCCCTCTTCTCGGTGCCCCCTGCCACTGCTACATCCTGTTTTGAGATTGCCTGCTAACTGTCTGTGCCCGCAGTGTGGCCTCACTTTAGTTCACCCCTCACTGCCAAAGCCAGCTTTCTGATGACAAAGCCAGAATGTCACTGGCTCCTCAGTACTGACAGTACACGACGTGGGAAATCCTTAGTGTCTTTTCCTACTCTGTCACTCTTGCAGTCCAGTCCTCTGCCTCGTCTGTGAAGTCTCCCAGTAACTCATCTCCCCAAGCCCCCGTGCCTTTGCACATGCTTGTCCTGCTGCCTGAATGAAGGTGAGCGGATACTAGCTTCTCCAGTAGCACGCTACATACAATGTACTGCGTTGTTTTAAGCCATTTACATCATGGGTATTTCACCCACAAGACAGAGGTTTCCTCAGACCACGAATTTTGTCTTGTTCATTTTCTGTCCCAGAACCTACTGTGGTGTGTGAGACATAGTGGATGCCCAAGGCACGGAAAAACAAACAGAAAGAATTTCTTTATTCTGGGTGGGCTCTCTGCCTCAACCGCTGACTTTTTCAGAGGCCTGCTCCCTCGGGGCCTCGGTGTCCTCGCCCTTCCCGGCCGGCCGCGCAGGTGAAGGGCCGCGGGTGGCTGGCTGCCTGCGGGCTGGGCTGGGCGGGGGCCGGCGCGCCTGCGCCTTCTGCAGCTCCACTCCGGGCGCGTCTCTGTGCGCGGGTGTCTGTTTGGAGAGGAGAGGCTTTGGTGACAGGCGAGGGTGGGGGGAAGAGTTCAGCCCGAGTCAGTCTCATTCACTGATTTCTCCGCGCTGGACAGAGGCTGCCTCCCCAAGAGGCTCCCAACTACTCCTGCACCTCCGTAGTCCCACCTCCGGCCGCTGCACTCTCAGCCTGGCAGACTGACGGACGGCTCGCTAGTGAGTAGCGGCGGCTTGTGCGCCGGGCAGCACGGCCAGCTGTCCCCGGCGGTCCTGTCCTCCCACGGGCTGTGTGCGTGCGTGTGTGTGTGTGTCCGCGCGCGCGCAGGAGGCGTCCCTGGGATTCCACGCCTGCTCCGAGAGCTGCCTGCCGGGATGCGCGTGTCCATGCAAGTCTGCGCCGCGCCGCGGCTGCTCGCCCAGCCAGGGGCTCGTACGCCCCCCGCGCGGGGAGGGAGTTTGCCGGGATTTCCCAGCTCGGCGCGCAGCGGCTGCTGGGGTTCCCCGAGAAGGCGCCGAAGCGAGCAGGCGGCGGGGAAGCCCGGGCTTGCGAGCGGCGGGCAGGCCGGGATCTGGGAGCGGGTCCGGCCCAGCACAGCCGCGGGAGACGCCGGAGCGGCCACCTCTGGCCGCCCAGCCTCTCCGCCGTTCTCCTTACCCTTCCTCCTTTCTTTTCTCAGCAGCATCACAAAGGCGCGCAGCAGAATGGAAGCCAATGCCGCGGAGCCCGGCTCTCTCCTACCTGGTGCACTTCGCCCCGGGCCGGAGGAGTCGGGTGGGGGTCCTCAGGATTAGGGGATGGGGTTTACCACGGTGGCAGACCTGTTTTCTGCTGTCGCTGAATTCAAGCTGGGTGCTGGATCGCGCGACCGGTTCCAACACGTACACGCGTGTGTGTGTCTGTGTGTGTGGGGCTCACCTGATCACGCACCCCGGGCCAACGCTCGCTGGGTGCGCTCGGTAAACAGCGCACCTCCCTGCCGGCCAGCGTGTGTCGAGCCTGCTTGGTGGGCTCCTCGCGCGCGCGGTGACAGCGTGCGGGCATCTCTTTGTTTGGTTGTGGCTTCCCCAGCCCTCCGCAAAGCAAATTGATTTTCGGTTTCACTTAACACTGCGCGCTGGGACTTAGTGTGGGCCACAGCCTCGAATGCCCCTGGAATTTGTAATTGAATAGTTCTTTCGGGCGGGGGGTTATTTTTAGTGTCAGGAATAAAAGGACAAGCACATTGACCTTTTTGCTGCTACGAGTCTCTGATGGAGCAAATTCACGTCTAGTCGCACACACGTGCCAGTGCACAAGTGTGCACACACATTTCTACACACGTAGTCCACCCTCCCCCCCCCCTTCTTTTCTTTTTTAAAATTGGGACAGGGAATGCATTGTGTGTTTGGAAAAAAAGAAACTTTCCTTTGTTCTTTTGGGCATTTTCTATTTTGAGTAATGGAGTAGGAGTACGAAAAGGTTGCAATTAGTTCACTCGAATAAAAGACACTGCTTCTGAGTCAGAGCCGCCAGGTTGATAATTATTAACATATAAAAGCAAATGCACTGTTTAAGGCAAAAGGGGCGGGGCGGGGGCAGGTCCGCGGCAGACAATGAAGGAGAGTCTCCGCCGACTGCCTGCTGCTTATTGTTCCGGGGCTAGAGGCTGCAGCCCGCAGCTGCCTTCTCCTCCAGGGTTTAGATCCACGCTCGCCCCTCCGTCCCATTCGGAACCGTCGGGGTCACCTAGCGCTGGGTCCCGGGTTCCGGGACGCTAGCCCCAGCCACAGCTGCCCTTCGCTGACCGTCCTTCCTCTGCTTTGCAGGTTAGTAGCTTCACGCCCGAGGGTGTCGGGAGCCCAGGCGGCGAGGACCGGGCGCCCCTGGAGGAGCAGCTGGGCGATATGCCGTGCGGGCAGCGACGCTAAGTGCCCCGACGCTGGGCGCGAGGTGCGTTCGCTCCTGGCCGCGGGCCGAGCGGCGGCGGCGGAGGGAATGAGCCCGGGGCGCGCCAGGCGCCTGCCGCGTGCTACCGCCCCGAGGTGGACGCTAAGCAGGGTTCATCGCAGGAGCGCGCGGACACCTGCCCTCCGGGGCACGCGGCTGCGGTCAGGATGCCCTGGGCGCCTCCCTGCTGGTGAGGATGTCCTGCTGCGCGGCTTTGCACCCGTCCCAGGTGGGCACGATTGAGTGCGCCCGGCTTCGGCCTCTCGTGCCTGTAGATGAAAAGCTCCAGAGTCCTTGTGGGCGATCAGCGATCGAATCTGAATCCTAAGAGCCATGGACGAAGGTACTGGGCTGCAGCCCCGGGCTGGAGAGCAGCTGGAGGCACGGGCCACAGTAGGAGCTGTCCAAGAGAAGGGCGAGCCAGAGACCTTTAGGTCTAAGAGTTTACCGGTGCTGAGCAGCGCCTCCTGCCGGCCGAGCCTCAGTCCTGCGAGTGTAGACGCCAAGCCAGCCTTCGGCTGTAGGGATTCTTTGGGCCACCAGGAGCTGAAGCCAGGCCTGAACCCGTTGACACCCAGCCCCTCTGCCCCGTCCACTTCGGCGGGGATGGCAGGGCTCGTGGACTGTAACCACAGGATGGACGTCAGCAAAACCGTCTCGGTGTCCTCCGCGCTGGCCACGCTGCAGGAGAGAAGGTGCCTCTATGTGGTCCTCACCGATTCCCGCTGCTTCCTGGTTTGCATGTGCTTTCTGACCTTCATCCAGGCGTTAATGGTCTCCGGGTATCTGAGCAGCGTCATCACCACCATTGAAAGGCGCTACAGTCTGAAGAGTTCCGAGTCGGGGCTGCTGGTTAGCTGCTTTGACATCGGGAACCTGGTGGTGGTGGTGTTCGTCAGCTACTTTGGCGGCCGGGGTCGGCGGCCCCTGTGGCTGGCCGTGGGCGGACTTCTCATCGCCTTGGGGGCTGCCCTCTTCGCCTTGCCTCACTTCATCTCGCCTCCCTACCAGATCCAAGAGCTGAACGCCTCAGCCCCCAACGACGGCCTGTGTCAGAATGGCAACTCCACGGCGACTTTGGAGACCCCCGCCTGCCCGAAGGACTCGGGAGGAAATAATCACTGGATCTATGTGGCTTTATTTATTTGCGCACAGATTCTCATTGGAATTGGCTCCACACCTATTTATACTCTGGGACCAACCTACTTAGATGACAATGTCAAGAAAGAAAACTCATCCTTGTACCTAGGTAAGGCTCCTGTTCTCTCAGATGTTTGGCTCACACTGAAACTTACTTTCCTTCCAAAAATCAAAAGGAAACATTTTCTTTCCCGTTTTCATATATATTAAGCATTAAGGTTCACTTCATTTTATATTTTAGCCTTGGTGTGCTGTGTTTTCGGTTTGGGGAAGAATCAGTGCGTTGAGGGTTCTTGGAACTAATATTCAGACCCACACTTCATATTTGTCTTTCCCCAAATAACACAAACTTTTAACTTTTATGGGGCGGTGCTTTTCTCTCTTGCCGCCTATCTTTGGCAAAGTTCCCATTTGTCCACTTTAACTTCTAATAAACGTGTTCAGGAGGGAATAGAAGTAACTAGTGTGTGAAATTTTGAATTACGTACTGATTTCATGTGCTGCTGTTTCTCATTCCTGTCCCCAACAGCAGGGATAATAGAGCAGCCCGACTACAGACAACATAAGACGTTGCTTTATCGCCCCTAACCCTGTATTTCTTACAAATCATCTGAATCACTATTTAAAACAAAAACAACAAAAACTTGAATGATATCAAATGACTGGGTTTTCCTTATGCAGAAGCAACATCACAGGTTGTAAAGTTTATCCAAAGCTACTTTTACTGCTGGTGGAAGACCCTCAATTACGTGAACTTGGGGGAAGACTCCACTGTTTTCTGAAGAGTGGTAGCTCTGGGATTTAGTGTTGTTGACATGTATAAATCAGAGCCAGTGGACAGGGGGTCTTGGGTTAAGTCCAGGGTACGCATGTGAGGGCAGGCAGTGGTTGCAGTGGGGAGGAAAATCTACTTCCTAGAAATCTGCGTGGTTGTCAGCACCTCCCTTGTCGTAACTGCTCCTTCTAAACTGAATTTCTTTTATTTTCTTATTTTCATTTTATCATTACACAATGTAACATGTTTTGTGGTCCTTTACCAATTTCTCCCTAACCCTTCCCCTCCTGCCCCTTTCCCACTTCTGGTGTCCTCAGTTCCTTCAAAAGTGAACTTCTACGGGATGCATCTGAACCCATGAAATAGTTGTCAACTGGATGCTATTTTTCCCCCTTAATGTTTCTCTACAGAGTCCAACTAAAACAATATGAGGGATTTTACTTTATAAAAAAAAGTAAAATGGTAAGTCATCAAATACTGGCTACATTTAGCAATTTATTAGCCATGTGCTAATAGGATCTTTGGTTTGGAAATAATCAGGTTTTCAAAGGACAGTAAAAATGATATCTTATGTAAGAGGGCTATGCTTTGTCTTTAGTACAGCGACTGTCCCCAGAAGCTGTTAGGGAAGGGTGTTTAAGTCCCCAGTAATTCCTAGTAACTGGCCCAATGCATCAGTACAAGAGTTTTATAACTTATCTTTATTATTAAATTCAAGAGAAAGAAATTTCCATTCTGGGCAGAGAAGACGAGTTTGCTTATTACCTTGCCTTCATGTTTTCTAACATGATAAACTTGTAAACCTACAGAAAAATTGAATCAACAGTATAATAAACAGCAGTATACACAACACCTAGATTCAATAATTGTTTATTTAGTCATGTTTGCTTTATCAACCTGTATGTGTGTATGCATATACACAAATATATATAATTTTGGGGTGGGGGGCTGAGTCCTTTGAAAGTAATTGCAGACATGGCTAGGCTCTTACATACATCTTTCTAAAAGTAACGGCATTCTTTTACATAACTGCAGGAGCATTAACATCCTAAGAAAGTTAATAATCCTTCCTACTATCATCAAATATCCAGGCCATATTCAAATTTCCTCAATTGTCCTTCCCTGAAGTTTTTTATAATTATAATTTTTTAAACCAGGAGCCAGTCAAGACTCACTCATCCACTGCATTTGGCTGTTAGCCTTTTTACTCTTTTATAATCTAGAACAGTGCCTCAACTTTCTTCTTTTTCCATGACATTGACTTTTGGAAGGGACAAGGCTAGTTGATTTGCAGAATGTTTCACATTCTAGATTTATCTGATTATTTCCTTATGGTGTGATTTACCCTATTCCTCCATCCCCTATATTTCTTGTATACTGGAATTTCAGTCTTGATTAAAGGCTTGATTAAATTAAGACAAAACATTTTTGGTTGGGCTACTTCATAGGTGATCCTATGTTGTTTATATTACACATATCTGGTCGTTCATTAGAGATGTTAAGTTTTATCACTTGATTGAGTGGGTGATTACCAAATCTTTCCATTGCAAAGTTACATTTCTCCCTGTATTTTTTTTCATCTTTTTTTTAAAAAAAGATGACTGGTAAGGGGATCTTAACCATTGACTTGGTGTTGTCAGCACCACACTCTCCCAAATGAGCTAATTGGCCATCCCTATATAGGGATCCAAATGCGTGGCCTTGGTGTTATCAGTACCACACTCTCCCAAGTGAGCCACAGGCCGGCCCACATTTCTCCCTTTAAAAGTAATCTTTAGAGTGAATCCTTGACTCTGTGTAAATATCCCAGTTGTTTTTCATGTTTTTGCTGATCTTTGCCTCTATTTACTTTGAAAACATGGATCTCCCTTCCATTCCATTTCTGGGTACCATTGACATAAATTTGCTTCATCAAAATCACAGGCAGAGTCCTATGCAAAGCGATCATTATCCACTAATAAGAGGTCTGAGATGAAGCTTTTCTGGTAGTGGTTGCCCATCAAGGAGAAAATCAGCAAGTGTACATTAAGTACATATTCTGTGCTAGGCATTGTGCTAGTTTTGGGAAGACCAAAAATGAGATATAGTCCTGGCATCTGAGGAACTTTCAGTGTCCTGAAGAAATATTGTCAGTTTAAGGTAGAGGTGTGAATGACATGTGCCAGGAAAGGAAAATCATAGAAATGGTGTTTGCTTTCTTTTCTTCTTTTTCTTTTTAAAAAGAGATTGACTAAATTTTTATTTTTGGAAAAAATTTTGATGAATGAATGCCTTAGGATGCTGCTGTGGGTTAAATTGTCCCCCAAAGTCCATGTACTAGAAACTTAACCCCTACTGTAACAGAGGGTGGAAAATCCTATTACGGTAATAGAAAGGTAGGGCCTTGAAGAGGTGGTTAGATTGTGAGGACCATGCCCTAGTGAATGGATTAGTCCATCGATGGTTTAATGGTGGTCATGGGCACGGTTCTGAGGGCTTTAAAAGGAGGACTGAGGAGTTAGTTCTCTCTGCTCTGCCGTTCTGCCATGTGAGCCCCCATGTCACTGTTACCACCAACAAGGCCTTCATTAGAAGTGTTCCCTGCACTTTGGACTTACAAGCCTCCAACAGTGTAAGCAATAAGTATTGTTTCTTTACAAATTACCCAGTTGCAGGAATTTTGTAATAAGCAACAGAAACGGACTAAAGCAGATGCACTCTTTAGGAAATTCATGAGAATTCTGCTTTATATTAGATGATCTCAGTGAAAGCTATAGTGGTTTGAGTACCAGGAATCTTACATTAATTTATTTAATGTTCTCAATGGATTTATGAGATGGGGATTTTTTCCCTTGGTTTGTGGCTGAGGAAACTGAGGCTCAGACCTCACTGCTGTGCTGTTCTGGCCCCAGAGCCCTTGAGCTTCCCTCCACGCTGCTTGGCTCTTTGGCAAGGGGCCCCAAGAGCCAGCTGAACTGAAGGCTGTGGCATGTTCAGCACAGTTGGGAATGGTGCGGAAGAACACAAGTAGCCTGAAGTGATCAACACATGATCAAAGCAAGATTATTCTTGAAACCCTTTAAGGTAGGTTTCATAGACTACCTCTGTACAAATCAAAACAGAGAGACTACTATATTCTAAGAACATGAGCAGTGTTAACCAATCATAAATGTGGGATTTTTCCTGGTAAATAACTGGTTAAATATCTTTATTTTTCACCAAACTGTTCTTTTATGTTAGCTTTTTCACCACCCACCCCTTTCTTAACCTTCCTGTCAGTCTTTCTAACTTTTTGTTATAACCACAGAAGAAAGAAAGAAAAAAAAAAAAATCAGCTAGCAGGTTAGTACTTGCAGGCAGGAACAAATATCTGAAGTAATGTTAAAACCATTAAAATGGAATGTAATTGTATATCTTAATCTTTTGAAAGTTCTATGTTAACATTCTGGCAGGTTAACTGTAGAAGACATGTGGTCATAGATGAGATACAGCGACATTTATATCCACTAGATGCCTTAACGCCTGCAAGGAGAGAGGGTCAGAGTTGACTTGGAGCATAGAGAAAGCTTTGTAGGTATTAATAAGAAGTAAGATTAGCAGCTCGACAATGATTTGTACTATCTCAAGGAGAGAGAGAAAACGTGATCCTTTGGGGACAAGAAATTCATGAATCAAAAGGAAAAGAGAAAGAATGGATAAAAGGTGGGAAAAGGAAAAAAAGGATACATTTCTAGAATAAAAAACACAACTCCGATTGGGTGATATTCAGGATAAGTAATGATCGGCATGGGCTGGCCATCAATCAGACAGTGTGGGTGCCGGATGTGCCAGCTGTGCCCCCTCCCTGATGTGTCCTGATAACTGTCAGCCCTGACTTCACCCCACAGAGATGGGTTGGAATGGGCCCAGTGCCTTAGAAAGTGCATCAGATAAGGAGGCAGAAAATCTGTATTTCAGTCCCTCTCTATCAATGTCCGGTTGTGGGACCTTAGAAATTCCCTCCCTTCTCCCAGCCTCTGTTTCCAGATGGGGATGATCCCATTTGTTCCCCTCACTGTGGTATTTTGAAGACCAAATGGGACTCCATGTGTGCCAGTGTCCTGCAGACTTCAAGGGCCGGCACTTGGCTCTGTCAAAGCAGAATTCAAACTTATCCCAGTAAGTGGGCACAGAGGGGACTGAGAGATATTTTGCTCTTTGTGAGTACAAAAACCCTCAAATGTGTCTTTTTTAATAATTGGAGAAATAGAAAGAAACATTGTGTCATAAATTAAAACATTGTATAGGAAATCACTCCTTAGGAACTTTGTACAGGAAAAATCTTGATCAGTGTCTTATCAGTGTTTACTCTGATT